ACAGGTGGCGGGAAGCCGTGACACAGGTGGCGGGAAGCCGTGACACAGGTGGCGGGAGCCGTGACACAGGTGGCGGGAGCCGTGACACAGGTGGCGGGAGCCGTGACACAGGTGGCGGGAAGCCGTGACACAGGTGGCGGGAAGCCGTGACACAGGTGACGGGAAGCCGTGACACAGGTGGCGGGAAGCCGTGACACAGGTGGCGGGAAGCCGTGACACAGGTGGCGGGAAGCCGTGACACAGGTGGCGGGAAGCCGTGACACAGGTGGCGGGAAGCCGTGACACAGGTGGCGGGAGCCGTGACACAGGTGGCGGGAAGCCGTGACACAGGTGGCGGGAGCCGTGACACAGGTGGCGGGAAGCCGTGACACAGGTGGCGGTAGCCGTGACACAGGTGGCGGGAGCCGTGACACAGGTGGCGGGAGCCGTGACACAGGTGGCGGGAAGCCGTGACACAGGTGACGGGAAGCCGTGACACAGGTGGCGGGAGCCGTGACACAGGTGGCGGGAGCCGTGACACAGGTGGCGGGAAGCCGTGACACAGGTGGCGGGAGCCGTGACACAGGTGGCGGGAGCCGTGACACAGGTGGCGGGAGCCGTGACACAGGTGGCGGGAAGCCGTGACACAGGTGGCGGGAAGCCGTGACACAGGTGGCGGGAAGCCGTGACACAGGTGGCGGGAAGCCGTGACACAGGTGGCGGGAAGCCGTGACACAGGTGGCGGGAAGCCGTGACACAGGTGGCGGGAAGCCGTGACACAGGTGGCGGGAAGCCGTGACACAGGTGGCGGGAAGCCGTGACACAGGTGGCGGGAAGCCGTGACACAGGTGGCGGGAAGCCGTGACACAGGTGGCGGGAAGCCGTGACACAGGTGGCGGGAAGCCGTGACACAGGTGGCGGGAAGCCGTGACACAGGTGGCGGGAAGCCGTGACACAGGTGGCGGGAAGCCGTGACACAGGTGGCGGGAAGCCGTGACACAGGTGGCGGGAAGCCGTGACACAGGTGGCGGGAAGCCGTGACACAGGTGGCGGGAAGCCGTGACACAGGTGGCGGGAAGCCGTGACACAGGTGGCGGAAGCCGTGACACAGGTGGTGGGAAGAGAGGGTCGCGTGCCACATTTAGAGGGAGGGGGGGGGTCGCTGGAGGCCAGTGCCCTCAAATATCGCTTATTGATTTCTATTTCATTCACGCTTTACCCGGAGAAAGGGGAGGGGGTGAGAGGTTTGGGGAAGGGGTGGAGTGGAAGGGGAGGGAGACGGTCCATCAGTCATTGTCACCACTCTATTGCAGCATGACTTCCTCCTCTACCCTCTCTCTCTCACCCTCTCTATCTCTCTCTATTCCTCTGGAGGCCGTACAGGCGTCAAGTCCGACACTCTGGACCAACCATTACAAGTCCACAACACAACGTCTAGTCACAACTAGCAGTACAAGGCGACGTAGATAGGATTAAGGGCATTAAATACTAGCAGAATACTACTAGCCAGCGAGCGCTTCCCGCTCCAACACGGCAGCGCTGAGGACGCCTCCAATAGTAATCCATAAGAGAGAGACAAGCAAACTCATTCATCACCTGACCTATAAAATAATTATGAACCTGTTGTTTGAGTGGTGGTACAGTACCAGGAGCCGGATAGCCGGCACGACCGGTGGTACAGTACTAGGGGGCCGGATAGCCGGCACGAACGGTGGTACAGTACTAGGGGGCCGGATAGCCGGCACGAACGGTGGTACAGTACTAGGGGGCCGGATAGCAGGCACGAACGGTGGTACAGTACTAGGAGCCGGATAGCCGGCACGAACGCTAGCACACTACCAGGGGCCGGATAACCAGCACTAATGGTTAGTTCCTACTATGATGCAACGGTCAATATTGACACCTGGAAGTGCCCTGTCAAACTCCCCCCTCCCCCTCCCACCCCTGACCTGACAGTGCCGCCAACATTCCCCTTGATCTAGACGTACCCCCTATCAAGGTCATCCTTCAACCTAACGGTCCCCCTCCCACTTCCCCCTTTCCTCAATTACCCCTTTCCCCCTTCCTCCGCCCTCCCTCTCCCTCCTCTCCCTCGTTCCGTGAAAATATTCTCAAACGCTTTCAATTAATAATAGCTCACGAATTATACATGAAATGTATAAGCTTTGTGTGGGTCACTGGGCTATGGACTCGTCTAGTAGTGCTTGCGGGGGTTAGGCTCTGGCTCTCTGGTCCCGCCTCTCAACTCTCAATCAACTGGTGTACTGGGGCCAGATTCACGCGAAGCAGTTACAGTCTCCGTGGTGTAGTGGTAAGATACAGTCTCCGTGGTGTAGTGGTAAGACACTCGCCTGGCGTTCCGCGAGCGCTATGTCATGGGTTCGTATCCTGGCCGGGGAGGATTTACTGGGCGCAATTCCTTAACTGTAGCCTCTGTTTAACGCAACAGTAAAATGTGTACTTGGATGAAAAAACGATTCTTCGCGGCAGGGGATCGTATTCCAGGGACCATAGGATTAAGGACCTGCCCGAAACGCTACGCGTACTAGTGGCTGTACAAGAATGTAACAACTCTTGTATATATCTCAAAAAAAAAAAACAGTTACGCAAGTACTTACGAACCTGTACATCTTTTCTCAATCTTTGGCAGCTTTGTTTACAATTATTAAACAGTTAATGAGCTCCGAAGCACCAGGAGGCTGTTTATAACAATAACAACAGTTGATTGGCAAGTTTTCATGCTTGTAAACTGTTTAATAAATGTAACCCAAGCCGTCAAAGATTGAGGAAAGATGTACACGTTCGTAAGTGCTTGCGTAACTGCTTCGTGAATCTGGCCCCAGGTTCCTGAGTGTATGTAGGTTGCCGGTTATATTTTCTGCAACTACACTTATTATACACTAGAAGGATCACCCGGTAGTACCCGGGTCTCTTCCCTCCCTCCATCAGGAAATTTATTGTTACAAAGCACTGTAACTGATGGGAAACACAACAAATATTTCAGATTTTATTTCATGATAATCGCCTGGGGAAAGGGAAGACTGATATTTTTTAAAACATTTCACTTGGACCGAAATTGACCGATTCCCTATGACACGCCCTCACCCAACATGATTCATCATGCACAGTTGGGCCAGGCTAGGCCCCAAGCATTTGGTCTCCAACCTCAGACAGACAATTTTAATCTATTTTATAGATTATGGCTTTTATCATTTAACAGAATTGCTATTCTTTTTAGAATGATTCTGTCTCTCATTCAATGGGATATTACACACAGAAATCACAATAGCGTGATGTATCAACTGTATGATTATGTATGTATGTATGTTTGTATGACCATGTATGACCATGTCGTAGCTCAGTCGATTAAGGCATCGTCTGGGATGCTCCCGGTCGCAGGTTCGAATCCTCGTCACGGCCCTTGTGGATTTGTTCAGTGGGATATGCTTTACTATCGTCACTGGTTTGTATTTTCAGTGTCTTTTGTACATCTTCCTTATTATATATTAATAAAATAATAAAAGCTTCGGGTTGAGCCGTGTAGGGTCCAGGATTCGAGTCTTCAAGACCCCAGGGTGAACGGAATACCATATTAGCCGTCTTCCGGATGTTGGGCAATAGTGAGGCTAAACGCTGAGGGCCCCAGCAGCTGCCTTCGGGAACCAAGGTGACCATTATCTAGGAGCAGCCTCCGGTTCATCTAGGAGCAGCCTCCGGTTCATCTAGGAGCAGCTTACGGTTCATCTAGGAGCAGCCTCCGGTTCATCTAGGAGCAGCCTCCGGTTCATCTAGGAGCAGCCTCCGGTTCATCTAGGAGCAGCCTCCGGTTCATCTAGGAGCAGCCTCCGGTTCATCTGAGGGCTCTTGCTGCTAGATGAACTATTCTCCTGTCCCGTCTCTTCTTCCTCCTCTCCTGCTAACTCAATACGTGTCAATTTCTCCTCTTGGAATGAGTCCATGCAATTAGACTGGTCGGTATAGTGACGGCCACGCCTACTGTAAGGGCCAGAGTTCGAGCCCCGGTGGTTTTAAGGGTTGGGCACCGCTCTTGGACTTCGTCGTCATGCCTCAAGCAGCTTATCCACACAGCCCAGCTCCTTATCCACACAGCCCAGCTCCTTATCCACACAGCCCAGCTCCTTATCCACACTCAATGAGGGAAGGTAATTCAGAATCGGCTTCTCTCTTTCCTGTGGGAGGTTTCAAGTTCAGTCGTAAACACACCTGGAAGATTATATGGAGTTCCCCCTCAGAGTTCCTCTTTATTTAATGCTTATGCTCTTCCCATTTTCTAATGCCAGTTAAATATGGATATTGAGCTGTTTGGCCTTGAATTCAAGGTCTTTTTCATTAAAGTTGCAAAACTCTTTTTGGTAAATGTTAATGTATTCATTCCTTGCTTGATAGTTATATTCGCTTTGTTATCTTCTCTTGTATACTCCTGATTTGTTTATCTTATATTAAAATTGTCTGTTGAGTCGTGTGTTGGTAGAACGTGGTCAGGGAGTATCCAGCACATAGGTTCGAATCCTTTTCATGATTTTCCTTCCCCCATGAATTCTTCTCCTCCTTCTTCTACTGATTTTCTCATGTGTTTGGAGCTTTCTTCCTTTTGTGGGTCTGAGCAGATTCTCAGTTTGTGTTGTTGCCTGTTTTCCCTCATTTCTTGAACTGTGTTAGTGTGTATCAAGACCTATAACGTCCCCCAAAGGACGGTACAGACAAGATTGAACCCCCCCTTTAATGCCACTTTCGAGGCCGGAGTTCGAGGCGCCGTGAGCCATAGTATGGTAGTTCTACCTCCACCGTCCAGGGCTCCGGACGCTCAGGTTAAACCGAGATCGATTCTCGAGGGTGATCGATGTGTTTGCTGGAGGCAAGGTAGCAGCAGTCTCGTCACACACACACACACACACACACACACACACACACACACACACACACACACACACACACACACACACACACACACATATATAAAGTGAAGAGCGGGGCGCTGCCAGGCAGGTGTGTGGCTGCCGTTAATGGAGGATCATCTTGTCTACACCTGACTCGTAGACTCATCACAGCGTGCAATTCTCTCCCTTTCTTGCAGCTAACTCGTCAACTTAAGCAAATCTCCTAAGATCCTGCAAGAACTAAATACAACATCAACTCCTTCTGAAAGGAAAACCTCAAATATTTCACAAACTCCAACTTGTTTCAACACCATTTTGGCCAAAGTTATCCCAACCAACATTGACATCAATTCTCTTCAAATTACGAACCCAGTTTGTGTCAACATGTGGAAATTGATGATTGTAGTGTTGGTGATTGTGGCTGTGCAATTGTCGCCGGCTTGGGCACTTCCCTTCAAGAGTAGGCCTACCGATAGTACCAACAGTACCAGTAGTACCAACACTTCCAACAGTACCAACACTACCAGTAGTACCAACACTACAGAGGAGAATAACGACGCTGCGAAGGTAAGTGGACCTCTTACGATGTTTTTTTCTTGATTTATAAAGTTATGTTGGAGGAAATTAACAGCAGTTTTTAATGTTATGTAACACGGATTTAAATTCGTGTTGCTGGCAGCAGCAGCAGCAGCAGTAGCAGCAGTAGCAGTAGCAGCAGTAGCAGCAGTAGCAGTAGCAGCAGCAGCAGCAGCAGCAGCAGTAGCAGTAGCAGCAGCAGCAGCAGCAGCAGCAGTAGCAGCAGCAGTAGCAGCAGCAGCAGCAGCAGCAGCAGCAGTAGCAGTAGCAGCAGCAGCAGCAGCAGCAGCAGCAGCAGCAGTAGCAGCAGTAGCAGCAGCAGCAGCAGCAGCAGTAGCAGCAGCAGCAGCAGTAGCAGCAGCAGCAGCAGCTCCTCGTCTCGTCGAAACATCTAATTAATGATGTCTAATTAATGTTTAATTAATGTAATTCTGCTGTCTAATGTCTAAGTGTAATTCTACCAGTGTACTTCTGCTAACTAATGTACTTCTACAAATTATAAATGCAATCTCATGTCCGTCCGAGATTGTAGCGACTAGATGCTTGATGGGGCGAGTCTCACCCAACTTTGCACGTTGATTCTGTGTGGGTATGTGTCCAACATGGTCGCATAGACGTTGCTCAAATTCAAGAGAGGAATAGCATGCCACGGTCATATACTCACCCACACGAATTTCCCTCTTGTGCTGGCTCTTGTTTTGCTAAATACTTTGAAAATATTAAAAACAAAAAATATTTCAGTATTTTAAAACATTATGCAGTGATCTTGGGAAAATTTACCAGACATTTTCCCCTTATTACTTTGGCCGTAAGCGGCAAAAACACTTTAAACTTGTAAACCGAGCCACTACCACCCTAATGACGATCCTGGGGAGCCGGTCGGCCGAGCGGACAGCACGCTGGACTTGTGATCCTGTGGTCCTGGGTTCGATCCCAGGCGCCGGCGAGAAACAGTGGGCAGAGTTTCTTTCACCCTATGCCCCTGTTACCTAGCAGTAAAATAGGTACCTGGGTGTTAGTCAGCTGTCACGGGTTGCTTCCTGGGAATGTATGTGTGTGTAAGAGAGATATGCGTATTAAGCATAATAAAGGAAATATAAATTTATTAGAAAGGCGGGGTCCAAGAGCTAATTGCTCGATTCTGCAGATACAAATAGTAAATACATACCCAAGAGCCAAATCTCAACCCCTTGCAAGCACAACTAGGTGAGCACACACACACACACACGCGCACACACACACACACACACACACACACACACACACACACACACACACACACACACACATACACACACACACACACACACACGTGTTTCCACAAACTCATCAACAAAAAGAGCCGCATTTCACGGTGAAGGACGAGGCGGATGTATTCATCTAGTTGTATTCACCTAGTTGTATTCACCTAGTTGTGCTTGCGGGGGTTGAGCTCTGCTCTTTCGGCCCGCCTCTCAACTGTCAATCTACCCATTTTTGTTTCTCGCTGGGGCCGGGGAATCGAACCCGGGCCACAGGATTACGTGTCAAGCGTGCTGTCCACACAGCCACCGGCGTCCACATATGACTAAAGCGGGTGGGCAGGGAAGGCATTACCAAACACTGGAAGACATAAGAACGTCTCCAAGACGACAGAGCAGGAGTAACGCACGGAGCGCAGGCGCAGGCGCATACCCCCCCCCCCCCACGCCACCATCCGACACAAACCACTAAAATTGAGGAGTGAGAATGAAGCAGGAAGCGAAAAAATGTTGTCTTGTGCAAGAGAAGATTAAAACCTTGGAGGGGGAGGGGGAGGGAGGGAGGGAGGAGGGGGAAGGAGGGGAGGGAGGGAGGGGGGAGGGGGAAGGATGGTAGGGAGGGAGGGGAGGGAGAGATGAAGGGAGAGGGGGAGGGAGGGTTAGTGGAAAGGAGGAAGAGGACCTTTCCAAGAAACAATCTTCCATGCTACAATACTTGACAAAACAATCTATTCAAAATATGACAATAAAAACATGCGCATCAATGCATAAGCACCAGAGCATACATATATACATACACACACACGTTATACACCAGGCATACATGCATATGCACATACACACTGGGGGAAAACCAATGAAGAACCATATACACTTCCGTGTCAGCGAGGCGGACAGTCCGCCTGCCATCTTATCACCATATTCTGTATTCATATAATTCTCCTTCACATGCACCACACACCCACCCACACCCCCACACCCACCCACACCCCCACCCACACCCCCACACCCACCCACACCCCCACACCCACCCACACCCCCACACCCACCCACACCCAAAACAAATCCCGCCCAGTTGAAGCTAAAGATTCTCTATAAACACTGTCGTCTATCAGGATAGATAGACCAGTGTCTATCACCTTGTGCTAACCAATCACAAACCCCCTAATCGTGATTTGTCAGTTATAAATTATATTTTTAATTAACACCAAGCACCAATGTCGTAGCTAGAACCATCCATAGTAGAGACTATATTAACTGAAGCAACATAACCTTATGTTTCAAGCAACATGGCTGCCACATGCAGGCAAACACATTGCTAGCCTCGTGTCCACTACCACATGGAAGGCCACATGGCCGCACCAGAAGCGACAAGGAGGCAGGCAGCAGGTTTTGCAATGCTTCAACGTGAATATTGATATAAATACCATATGCAGCGAATATTAATATTCTATTTGCTATTGCCTGAACATACCCGGTCACTGATCTTGGGTTGGTTAAGCTGTCGAGTGCGCGACGGTTCCTGTTTCAGGAAGGGTTGCGCTAAGTATGGCTGGATTTGGTTAGGTTAGACTATACTCTGGATTAGGCTCGGGGTTAGGCTAGACTCTGGATTAGGTTAGGTTAGGCTAGACTAGACTCTGGATTAGGTTAGGTTAGGCTAGACTCTGAATAAGGTTAGGTTAGGCTAGACTAGACTCTGGATTAGGTTAGGTTAGGCTAGACTCTGAATAAGGTTAGGTTAGGCTAGACTAGACTCTGGATTAGGTTAGGTTAGGCTAGACTAGACTCTGGATTAGGTTAGGTTAGGCTAGGTTAGACTCTGGATTAGGTTAGCCTAGACTTTTTTTTAATTACCAACAAATGCTAATTACCAGCGAACCGTCGCGTGTAGGTAAGAACAGCTTGTTCGTCCTGTCAGCAGTGCAGTTTGCGCTCCACACCAATCAATGATTCACAAAGTAGGTCAATGGGACAATGGGTTTTAATGGTCAAATTCATTAGCCGTAATTCTTTATATTTAAGCGCTCGGAATTGCTCCATTCTCTCCCTGCAGTCACTGTAAGTGTTGGTTTGCAGTGCAAGTTGTTTGCTGTGGCAACGTATGTGGTTAGTGTAGTGTTGTATTGACGACGAAAGTGGAGAGAATTGTGACGTATTGACGACGAAAGTGGAGAGAATTGTGACGTATTGACGACGAAAGTGGAGAGAATTGTGACGTATTGACGACGAAAGTGGAGAGAATTGTGACGTATTGACGACGAAAGTGGAGAGAATTGTGACGTATTGACGACGAAAGTGGGGAGAATTGTGACGTATTGACGACGAAAGTGGAGAGAATTGTGACGTATTGACGACGAAAGTGGAGAGAATTGTGACGTATTGACGACGAAAATGGAGAGAGAGTGCCCTCAGCAGTATTAGAAACATTAGCAAAACATTAAACCAAAAAACACTCCAGCACCCGTGAGTAAGTTCACTCATTCATACTAAGCACGCTATCGTGGGTCTGAACACTTAACTTGATCGTGGTTGATAACAGACAGCAGTGAGGTGGATATCTTGCACTAACTTACAGGATATCAATCCAGACCACATCTTTAAAATGCCAAATGTAACATACCCAAGGAGGCAGCAGCTTCCAGCTCAACAAGACACAATATACGACAGGAAATAGATATTTGTTCACCCCATAACAGTTCATCAAGTGGAACCGCCTACCCGCCAAAGCCGTAAATGCCAAGACTACAGGTCAAAATTAAGCAGAAGAAAAAAATTCTCAGGGGTTGGATAAGGGGACATTTGACAAGCCACCGGCTTCCTGTTCCAGTCAAGGCCCCTTAAGATGGAATAGGCCCCACACCCCCAAGTCACAGCGCCCCCCTCCACAGCCAGGCCATACCCACAGCCCCCCCACAGCCAGGCCACACCTACGGAACCACACCCACAGCAACGTGTGCTCATCCTAGCCTCGACACCTCCCCACGGACCTCACACTCATCAATGTTCACTCAATAATTCATCATCTCTCACTCATCCTCTCACCGCTGAGTCACGGTTGTCAGCGTCGGTTGGGGCATGTGGCGATCCATCAAGCTCCTACATCGGTCTGTACACCTCTACCTGTGCTGGCTTAAGACCTACAGCTCCTTGCTCCCGCCTCTTAACAGAGAGTGAGCGTAGGGACGTCAGTGTGTGATGTTGGGTGTATGTATAGTGTGTGCTACACCCACCAGTGATACCGGTGGGTGTAGCACACACTAGGGACCTCAGTGTGTCCTCCCTCCCCCCATACCTCCCTCGTGCCGCCCTGCAGTTTTCAAGGTCACTACCAAGGTCACGTACCTCCACGTGGACAGAATTCCACAGGCAAATTAAAGTAAATGCACTTATTAAGCATTTAATCAAATATTTACGAAGGCAGAAATGGCTACTCAACAATTCAGTTTACAATGACTGAATACAGTTTACTAAGTCGTATAACGAAGCGTTCACTGTAGTGTGTGTGTGTTTGTCAGTGTAGGTTATAGTTGAACTAGCACTGACAAGGTCTTGTACTGACCATAACGTGATACTGGAACTCTATTTCCCATAATCACTACAGCGTGATGTATCGTGTTGTTGCTACCAAATCTACGAACTGGTGTAAGACATGGTTGTGACGTCGACATGACGTGACGACACGTGGCACTGTGACGGCCTGGACCCGCGTGTAGACAAGGGTAGTGACGAGTGTGTGTGTGAGTGTATCCAGAGGCAGTAATGAGTGTGTGTGTGTGTGTATCCAAGTGTGTCACTGGGTGCTTGTGGCAGGGGGAAATATCCCGGCCAGGCGCAAATAATGGTAAGAGAGGGAAATTTCAGGGAAAAAGAGTCAAGCCATTAGACTATATACCACTGGGAAGGGGTCAGGATAAGGATTTGGGATGGGACGAGGGAAAAGAATGGTGCCCAAGCCCTTGGACGGGACACCTAGGTTCATCTGCCCCCCACGAGATAAACTGTGCATGCTTTACACAGCCACGAGGAATGTGTTGCTCTGAAGGAAGGTCACTACGAGACACCTGGTTGAGGGTAGCAGGTCACCGTGATCCCGCTGGAGCTCCAGACCAGCAACAATAGAGAGGATAATGCACCATCACACCCCAGGGAACAGGAACAGCACTCCCTCTAAATCTTGGAAACAACAATGGTGCAATTGTTCCGTGGGATTCCCCCTCCCTCCCTACCCCCTACCTCCATCCATCCCAATCCACCACCCCCCCCCAATCCTCCCCCCCCCCACCATCACAAACAACAGGTTGTAGATGCGTGTTGTCAACCCCTCAGTCACTCACACATCCGCCTATAAGCTGTCAAGAGTCACTTAACCAGTCGCTCAAGTGCTATGCCTGACAGCCCCCCCCCCACCGTTAAAGCAAATAAATGGTTCATCAACACCGGTCGATTGGAGATTGAAAGGCAGGTCCCAAGAACCGAAGCTCCCTCCACATTTAGCACAGCTAGGCGAGTACAAAGACAGGTGGTATATCAAGATCAAATTACTAAGCAAATGAGAGAAAGGTTGGCTGTGTTTTCGTTGACTATCAGGAAGAGGTTGACTCAGTCCAGCATGAACTGTTTCCCCTACCACCACCTGGAACACCCAGGCTAACACCTGGGAGATGTGGTGGAATGGATGCTAGCATCTCCATTAGGGAGCCTGTCGGCCGAGCGGACAGCACGCTGGACTTGTGATCCCGTGGTCCTGGGTTCGATCCCAGGCGCCGGCGAGAAACAATGGGCAGAGTTTTTTTCACCCTATGCCCCTGTTACCTAGCAGTAAAACAGGTACCTGGGTGTTAGACAGCTGTCACGGGCTGCTTCCTGGGGGTGGAGGCCTGGTCGAGGACCGGGCCGCGGGGACACTAAAAAAATCCCCGAAATCATCTCAAGATATCATCTCAAGATCTCTCTAGAAGGAAACGTGAAATAGTACTGAAGACTGTTCTATACATAAAATACTCTAACGACCAGACAGAGGAAATAGAGACATCTTTATCCTTGACCAAACCACACACTAGAAGGTGAAGGGACGACGACGACGTTTCGGTCCGTCCTGGACCATTCTCAAGTCGATGACGACTTGAGAATTCTCAATCGACTTGAGAATGGTCCAGGACGGACCGAAACGTCGTCGTCGTCCCTTCACCTTCTAGTGTGTGGTCTGGTCAACATACTTCAGCCACGTTATTGTGACTCATCGCCTGCAACTTTATCCTTCTTCGAGGCTGATGCAACATTGACGGAGAGAACTGCAAACTGCTGAAGACTTCCGGGGAGATGTTGATGTGCTTCAACGGTGCTCGGATAGATGGTTGCTTGTTGTTGTTTAAAATTCAGCTACTGGGAACTAAAAGTTGCAAGTAGCACGGGCTATGGTGAACCCGTGATGGACTTACCTGGCACAGGAGCGGGGCTGAAACTTAAGAGAGAGGGTTGCTGATTGATTGATTGATTGATAAAGATTAAGCCACCCAAGAGGTGGCACGGGCATGAATAGCCCGTAAAGATACACAATAATGAGGACTGGTGAGGCGGAGAGAAGCCTCCCCCAGAGACCGTACTGGCTGAAATGAACCACCAGTTGCAGCCCCGCTCCTGTGCCAGGTAAGTCCACTACGGGCTCACCATAGACCGTGCTACTTGCAACTTTTGGTTCCCAGTAGCCGAATCTAAACCGCAGGTGGCACCTCCCAAAGGTAGTGGCAGGAAAGAGACTATACAGAGCACCAAAGGTGTTGCCAGGGGAACCCCTCAACAAAGCAACTAGAAGTGCAACTTGAACCAAACACACGGACTTCAGGAGAGACTTCAGGACGCCCTAACAAAGGACTTCAGCGTCTGCTGATAACTGCTTCATCCCGCCGCTGCTGCTTAAGTGCTGCTGCTGCGGCGCTGCTGCTTAAGTGCTGCTGCTGCGGCGCTGCTGCTTAAGTGCTGCTGCTGCTTAAGTGCTGCTGCTGCGGCGCTGCTGCTTAAGTGCTGCTGCTGCGGCGCTGCTGCTTAAGTGCTGCTGCTGCGGCGCTGCTGCTTCAGAGGTACCGCCGTACCTCTGAAGCACTCTCCACCTCGTATAAAGGAAGAAATGTGTATGGTTTATCATTCAAAATGTTCGGTAATATGTGTATTGTTTGTGATGTGTGTGTGTATATATGTATGAACACGTTGTACTGAACGGGGGGTGAGAACAGCTCGAGCTATTAGCAACACGGACACAAGGTTAACGTCTCTCGTACTTAACCTTTCAAGAGAATGTAAAGTAAGCTTTCTTAACCTCTCTTCATTTTCATTTGATTAGGCCAGGACCACGTGCTGGTGCTGCATTGTTCAGAATTAGTCTGACATACGTGACATATAGTGTGCTGAATGTCTTATCTGTTCAGATATCCTTTCTGATGTTGGCCACCTTGCATATGCAGCTGATATAATCTGGGAATTATGTCCCGAGAGAGAGAGAGACAGAGACAGAGAGAGAGAGAGAGAGAGAGAGAGAGAGAGAGAGAGAGAGAGAGAGAGAGAGAGAGAGAGAGAGAGAGAGAGAGAGAGAGAGAGAGAGAGAGAGAGAGAGAGAGAGAGAGAGAGACAGAGACAGAGAGACAGAGAGAGACACAGGGACGATACATAACCACGTATAGAGGTCAGTTGCCACAAAAGATTCACACTTCTCCAACCCTCCTAACCTTAATTATATGATTGATAAGCATTAAGGCACCACAAGAGGCGGCAGGCACGGGCATGAATAGCCCCGTAAGTCTAAATTATCATATCTCTCTCCAACAGATATACCTGGCCGCCTACGGATACCTGATCCCTAAAGAACCACGCACCTCCCCCCTTCACTCCTTCTCCTCCTCTTCCTCTTCCTCCTCTTCCTCTTCCTCCTCCTCCTCACCATCCCAGCCTTCCTCCGAGGACCTCTTCCAGCAAGCCGTCAAGACTTTCCAGGTAGGTGAAGTCTTATTGGTAGTTCGCGAGGTTTGTTTGTGAAAGGCCAATGGTGATAGGCTAATGGGTAAGGAGGGAGCCATTGTTTATTCAGTCACGGATAACAGAACCCATGTTGATTGGCCAATCATGGAACTGCAGGTGAACTAGGAATCCTTTAATTTACTTTGAACAGAAATGAAACAATGAATGAGTTTTGTGTCATGGCATGATTTCAAACGCTGACTAGCGAATCATAATGTTGTATAGACATCACGGACACAGATTAGAAGACCATGAGGCTGCGAGTAAGACAATGGAAGCCGGTTGTTAACTCACCACTCGATCATTCAGCCACAAAGGGATAAGAGTTTGTTTTGGTTAAAGGTTCACTCAGCGCGAGGGGAGTCGAAGCACCCTATTAGACTTGTTCATTTGCTATATCACGCCATTGCGATTTCTGTCTTTACGCTGTTAAAAGTTAATGGAGTTCTAGTGTCTGTGGGCCCCTTCCTGGCTTAATACATGCAGGATACATAACACGCTCTAATATGTATCCTAGAGAGGACGAAGGGAATTATCAGGAGAAGCACTAAGCCATTACGACTATATAGCACTTAGATGGAGTCAGGATAAGGATTTGGGATGCGACGGGGGGGGGGGGGGGGAAGGAATGGTACCCAATCACTTATGGACGATCGGGGATTGAATCCTGACCTGCAGGAAGCGTGACCGTCGCTTTACCGTCCCAGCCCAAGCGGTTGGGCTTGTATATCTTGGAGTTACTGATGAGATGCTGGACGTTGATTGGTTGATCAGGATGTCGTAGGCAAGATGGTGGACGCTGATTGGTGGGTTTGATCTCGGAGTTACAGGGTACACGTCTTAGTCACGTTGATAATGTTGATAGTGTGAGGAATTACAAAAATGATGAGCGTTGATTGGCGGAGGGAAGTGATAGTGAACGTTATCGGTTACTGGACCATTTGGGCACGACGGTGGATAATCAGTGAACGCTTACATCACGTTTCATCCTTATGAATGTACTCAGTCTCCATAAATACTCTTAGATTCACCTTTGAATAATTTCAAAAGGTGAAAATATTTTCCACCTCTGGATTCAGAGTCGGATTCAGTCTCTCAATCCGACTCCGAGTAGGATTTTCAAGCGTCGGATTCAGTGTCTCCTATTGGTAGTCTTCAATGTAGTTCTCGTACATCGTGCTGCCAATGCGAAAAATACGTTGATCTTTCTCTTATTCTCTCTATTTTTTCCCCCTATTTAGAACCTCATTTATTCGTTCCATTATTCCTCCCTGGGCAGAGTGTGGCGGGGCTGGAGCCGACGGGTAAGGTGACGGAGGAAACGCTGAAACAAATGTTCGCTCCTCGCTGTGGCATCAAGGACAACTTCGACCCCAACATCACCCAGGGGCATGACAGGAGCAAACGCTACGTTCATGAAGGTTAGCCATATGCTTCCCCCCCCCACCCACGTCGCTGGAAGACAGGAGAGCTCGGGGGAGACATGATCACTACCTACAAAATTCTAAGAGGAATCGATAGGGTAGATAAAGATAAACTGTTTAACACGGGCGGTACGCGAACAAGGGGACACAGGTGGAAACCGAGTACCCACATGAGCCACAGGGACGTTAGAAAGAACATTTTCAGTGTCAGAGTAGTTAGTAGATGGAATGCATTAGGCAGTGTTGTGGTGGAGGCTGACTCCATACACAGTTTCAAGTGTAGATATGATAGAGCCCAGTAGGCTCACGAACCTGTACACCTGTTGATTGACAGTTGAGAGGCGGGACCAAAGAGCCAGAGCTCAACCCCCGCAAGCACAACTAGGCGAGTACACATTCACACCATACACAATCATACATAATCATACACCATACACACACGATGTACCGAGACATTGTTTTAAAATGAGAAACAACAGGTCTAGGGGGCAGAAATGAGTTACAGAGATGTCAAAAATATATATTTATCAGCCTAGGAGCGGTGCAAGGTTGGCATGGATTAGGTGAGCAAGTTGGCTATGAGCATTCAATTCGCAGCTACAAATGTAAACATGAGATAATCGAGTGAAAATCGTCAACATATTGAACCTGTGGATGGCTGAAGTGAAATGTTGGTCTTGTAAGTACACCCAGTGGTGTACACCCCTAAGAGTACGCCCAGACGAGTACACCCAGCAGGAGTACACCCAGACGAGTTCCAGTCAGGTAATGAAGCTTGGACCAGGGGTAGAGAGGACAGAGAACCAATAAGCAAGGCATGGGAAGAGAATACCCAGTTCACTGATTTAATTTATTATTTGAAACCTACATAAAAACCGAGACTAATCAGATACAATGTAGCCTAACCTATTTAAATTTCAATACAAAATTGTATTAGTTTGGGATTAGTATTCCAATCTAATCCAAACCATCTTAACAATTGGTTAGATTAAGTTGAATTAGAAAAAAGGTTTGTGTGTGTGTGTACTGTATGTGTAGAAGTTGTGACTGTGTACTCTAATACTACGCATCACAAGCCTCAAAAGGAAGTTTAAGTAACACAACTTAGTCTCAGCAACTTTAAAAAAGAGAGACGTTAGAAGAGGGGAAGATTACCGCGTACTTCACTCTTCCGTTTCCTGTTGTAGGTTCCAAATGGAAGATGCAGAGCCTCAGCTATAAGATATCTAAGTACCCACCCAACCTGCCCGCGGCGGACGTCGACAGGGATATCTTCAAAGCTTTCAAGGTAAGGAAATGCAAAGGGCAAGACCACGTTCATGTATGACTACACCTTAAAATAAGTAGGTAATGTAGGGCAGTCTAATCCTACTATATTTATAACGTAGATGATCAGGCTATAGGATATTTATCCTATATATTTACCATCTTGTAATCCATAGATTTACCATCTTCACGAGATGGCAAAAATCATCTTTCTTGACTCTTATACGGTAAATAATTATCACCATTTTGATCTTATTATATTTTCAGCATCTTCTTTCCACAGATAAATATCACTAGGCATTTTTTTTTAGCTAGGCTAAGCCTAGCGAAGCCTTAGCTAGGCTTCGGGCATATCTACTACTGGGACCAAAACAGCAGCTCACTAACAGACCAGCAAAGATGGCTTTCCTCTAGTCTTCAACTATAACTGATTGATGATTGATAGAGATTAAGCCACCCAAGAGGTGGCAGAGGCATGAATAACCTACGAGTGGAGGCTGTTTGAAGCCATTACCAGTAGTTGTAGATCTGTGGATGGATGGGGGTCTTTAAACTATGTTTTAGATTTAGCTGCTCAGAACGAAATGTCCATGTAGCACAGGCTATAGTGAGCCCGTAAAACTAAAACTATAAAGCTATAACTAAACTCTCAAATGTATATATATATATATATATATATATATATATATATATATATATATATATATATATATATATATATATATATATATATATATATATATATACCAAAAAGTGGGGTATATGTGTCTATATGTTGTGACAAGGAATTTTCGCTGAAATCCATTCTAAATTCAGTGTACGTCGACCGTCTAGACTACGCGTGAACCCACAAAAGCAGTTACGAGACCCATAAGGAGACATGCCCTTTGTTCCCCCTCACAGGCGTGGTCTGACGTGTCACCACTGACCTTCCAGCAGCAGACCTCCGGCAAGGTGAACATCGATATCCGCTTCGCAAGACTTCGGCACGGAGACTCTGATCCCTTCGACGGCATCGGGGGCGTCCTGGCCCACGCCTACTACCCCTTGTACGGCGGAGACGCTCACTTCGACACGGACGAGGCCTGGACTACCAACTCCTACAGCGGTTAGCACAGTCTTCTAAGGTTCCTCTAGGTTCTAGAATACACTAATCAACTTTTGTAATAAAACTGGATATTTCCAACACTTTATTAGTAGTGCCCGAAGTTATTTCCTACTTTTAGAGACAGGTCTCAAGAGTATCACCCAATGTTTTACCCGAGAAGTGTACTCCCTCCCACAGGAACCAACTTGATGCAGGTGGCGGCGCATGAGTTCGGCCACTCGCTGGGCCTAGGGCACTCTCCGGTAAAAGAATCACTCATGGCTCCCTTCTACAAGGGCTTCGAACCCGAGATCACTCTCAATACAGACGACATCCAAGGCATCCAGGTGAGCGGTCAAGCTCCGTGAACTAACTTCAACACCTGAGTCTATACAACTTGCATTATGCAACTGTCATGCAATCTTAATTACAAATTATTTTCTTTATGATTATATTACATATACGATTCACTACTATCTACGGGCTCACCATAGCCCGTGTTACTTGGAACTTTTTGTTCCAGGTAGCGAATCTTTAACAACAACAACAACAATGTAATTTACGAATAACAGTGTTATGTAACGAAGAAAATCTAAAAGTGTGACGTCGTTTCAGTCCCTGTACGGAAAGCCAGTAGCAGGAGCAGCAAGTGAGAGTACCAGTGTTACCGGGGACGCTGGCAGCGAGTCCGGTAACGGAGGGTTTGATGACCCAGGCCAGCAGGGAGGCTCAGGCTCAGCCTCAGGTGGTGTGCTGTGTAACGACGCAAGTGTTGACACAATTTTCACTTCAGTAGATGGCGAGGTGTATGTCTTAAAGGGTAAGTCCTCCCATGTCTTTACTCTTGTGCCTTCCAATAAATTAAGACCCAATATACTAAACATAAGTCTTAGTTTACGAGTTATGAGATATACCGTACAGTGCAGTATGAGGCGGTGAATGAGGCTCCTCACCAACTCATCCTTCACCCCTCAGGAGACGAGTACTGGCGCCTGACCACCTCTGGGGTTGCAGACGGCTACCCACGAAAGATTACCGACAACTGGCCACAACTTCCCACTAACATAGAAGCTGCCTTCACCGGGAGCAACGGCAAGACCTATTTCTTCAAGGTAAAATTCAGTGTGGGTTGCACGTATCATATTATATCCCTTAAGTTATTAAGGGACACATGATATTCTTAAAACATCCAACATTTCAACTCCTGGACCTACATGGTTCTTAGCTCTCATCAAAAGCCTATACTGTACTGAACCACAGCCAAGTATTCCACTTGGGAGGGAGTTGCATTTTCTTTTATTATTAACTATTCAACATTGATGTATCCTGCAGGGAGACAGTTACTGGCGCTACAGCGGCCTGACGCCCGACCAGGGATACCCGAAGCCGATCAGCAGTGGTTTCCCAGGGATTCCAGATTCCTTGGATGCTGTCACTCCCTCCTACGCTAACGACGTCATCTATTTCTTCAAGGTAGGAGATGAGTTGCAGAGCATCTACGTGACTCTTCTTCTTCTTCTTGAGAATAGGTGCAGTTTGCATGAAGGGTTAACCCTCCCGATGACTGCACCAGGACAGACGTAAGGAGACGCGTTGACGGTTAGGAGGAGAAGAAAGTCAAAAGCGGTAGATGTGAGGGGCCGTAGAGAGAGGAGAGGCGACGAAAACAGAGGCGAACGTTAGAGGGAGACACCCCGCACCGGGGGGGCGGGGAGTCGTGGTCACGGTGGCAGCTGACCCACGCACGGCTTAGCAGTGTGCGCAAGACGGGAACTAATACTTCTCCGGAAACTTGTGTATCGGAAAGCGCAAGCAGTACGCTTCCCAAATCACCCGCAGGTCAGCAGGCAGCCGGCCACCAGGCGGCGCCCTCGGCTGAGACATCCTATCTGGCACCCTATACACAAACTCCTTCACCCGCGACACCCAGACAGTGGACGAGCACCACGGGATCGGAAGCACCCGGGCATCTCGATAAGGGCCCAACTCCGGACCCTCACAGGGCACGACCCCAGCAGACGGGACTAGGCAATCCCCAGACCGGAGCAAGGAAGGAGGGGATACAGCAGGGGAGGCAGGCGCGGCACCGACCCCACCACCGGGCACAGAAGCCGAGGCCCCCTGGCGCACATCTTTCCGCAACAGCACGACAAGGTCACGATCATCAGGCACAACCCCCCACTGCGGAGATCCAACAGCAGGAGACGCAGGAGGTGAGGCACAGGTAGCAACTTCGGAGCCCCTCACAGCACCATCATCCTCGGCGGGAGGCGCCAGATCACCATACTCCCCCACCTCCTCCCAAGGCACACCACGAAGGGGAGAGACACTCCGAGCCCGCCGTGAACGCTTCGAGACAGGCCGCACCACACCACGCCCAGCAGGCCCCGCCGCAGGCACGGCCACCATCTTCACATCCACACAGGCCACACCCGCACCGTCCGAAGAGTCCACAGAGGCCACATCACCCACACTGTCCACATCATCCAGGGAAACAGCCTCAGAACACCGACGCGCGCGCTTCTGCAAAGGGATGGAAAGAGCAGAACTACAGTCACCAACACACACAGGCACGGCAGGCACCTCCCCCTGCCGAAGCACCCCCTCTAAAACAGCAGAACCCGCGTTCCCGGGAGCCGGTATCACATCCACAGGCGGGGGCGGGACATGGACCTCCACCGGGACATCCTGCACTACTCGCAGCTCAGGCGACGGCCCGACACCCACACACACCGGCTCAACAACCCCAGTGGCCACAGCAGTCATCAGACGTGTCGCACAGGCCGTAGAATTCGCCTCAACAGGCGGAGCAGCAGACAGGCAATCAGGCGCCTCAGGCACAGCACCTACTCCGTCCTCAGAACCGTCCGAACGTAACAAGGGCGGGAAATCCTCCGCACGAAAAACATGCACCCGACCAGTTGCTCCCACGTCGCACGCCGCAGCCAGATGACCCTCGTGACCACACCGATAACAGGTGCGCGGTTGACCCCGATACTGGCAGCGGAGCGTGTATCCCAACACGGACATCGACGACGGTACACTACACTTCAGCGACATTGTCAGGGTGCGAGAGCCGTCAAGCATACCAACACAGTGCCCGGCAACGACCTTGTTCCAACGAACACTTAACACTGTCCCAAATCGCTCAAAACAAGAGGTTAAAAAGTCGTCCTGAAATTCGAAGGGGGCACCATGCACCGCCACAGACGTCAAGGTGACACTAAGATTCACCACCTTAACTGAGCCAGCTGAATCAGGGAGAGGGTAAACACGCCCCTCACAACGCTCGAGAAACGCTTGAAAGGCAGCCCGGAGGCGGAACTTGACCACAGCACGGTGGCCGTGAAGCAGCTGGATGCCCACCAGGTCCGACAGCTGCACATGAAGCACGTCCACCAGGGCGACACCAACCAATGGATGGTCCACCGGCACCGTAAATGCCAGACCAGCCGACAATGTCCTCTGCACTGGAAGGCGAGACGACCCCATGGCTAAGGCAAACGTCACCCTGTCAGTGGCAAACCACCACCAGCAGGGCAAACCAGCAGTCACCCAACGTAAACACTAGCCAGTGCGGAGAGACCTCAGGAGCGTCCGACCTGGCCGGTGGTCACCACGCAACTCTACGTGACTCTTGATAGATGACGTAACGCCTGTAAGGGATTTATTTTATCTTCTTTAGTGAATCTGTTAGAATTGATTGCCTGAATCAAACAGATGCACTAGGCTAGAATTTTTGACAGGCGATACACCGTCTTTTGCTAGGCTCATCATAGTGATTCCCTCAAGACGCAGTTATGCTTCTGGGATGTAAACACTATTCATTGCTTAGTTCAAAATCGCATGCTCGTAAAAGAAGTCTTTAGTATGCACATCACATATTTTTTTCTTATCGAACATAAAATTCCGAATATATTCTTAGTTACGTTATATATTTCCGAAAAAAGTTAACCATTTTCTTGGTTAAGGCATATAAGCAAGCATATTCTATTGAAGTACAGGGAAGATGGACTACAAATGGAGATCTCTTATTTCAGGGCGATCAGTATTGGCGATTCCCAACAAAAAGTTCAAATTCACTTCGAAACAGAAATAGCAACGCGAGAAGGAACTCCAAACGCAAAAATAAGAACACAGTCGAGCAGAGGAGCTTATCCAAATGGAAGGGTCTTCCGAGCAATCTGGATGCCGTCATTCTCTACAATCAAAACGCCTATTACTTCTTCAAGGTGAGTGAGTGCAAGAAGAGAAATCTGAAGTTGTGTTTATAGTTTTCAGAGGAGGAACTGGAGGGACAGCCAGCCGCATCGTCCGCCTTGATCACACCGCCAGATTTAGGCTGTGGAAGTCATTCTCTGTACTGTTGCCCTCGTGTAATGAGTAGTTCTGTATTTTTGTATTCTGTCATTTTGATTATGCAGTATGAAAGTTTACTGATGACATGCCATGCCATTATTATGTCTTTCTTGTGTAAATGAATAACAAACATTTTGTAAATGAAATCTGTTATAAATGTGCGAAAAACATTCACGGGTAAAGTTTTAAATTTGAATTACGTCGTGAAAATAACTGCACATTGCCAGCTTACTAGCATAACCGCTGACACAGCATTCCTTAAACGAATATATATTGCATCAAGCATATTTGCAAGGGATGGTAAGGCGAAAATACTGGCATACGTCCCACACCAAGTTAACTAATTCATCCTTTCAACCTTACCTGCAACTTTGTTGAAAATAAATGGATCTGACGTATACAATATGTACCTAATGCTTAGAACATTGTAATTATTTTGGATTAAACATGGTTCAATTATGTTTGTGTCCGGGAAATATTTGCACGAGGCTATTTTCTTATCAACATTTAGTCATTTCGTTAACCATAATCTCTCATGTGTACATACAACGGGTTCGACTCCTTATGTGTTCGAAGGCTATGATTACGTAGTTGTACAGTTTATCCAAACCCTTCCCAGATGGACGCGATGGATATAATGTTGAGTTTGTCTTCCTCAGGACGGAAAGTACTGGAGGACGCACAAAGCAGAGTCCTGGATGGATACAGACAACCCAGCCTTCCCACGCGACGTTGGCTACTGGTGGTTCGGCTGTCAGTCCCCGGTGAGGCTCTGGGACGGAGGGTTGGAGATGGTTGACTAAAACCACACACTAGAAACTGAAGGGACGACGACGTTTCGGTCCGTCCTGGACCATTCTCAAGTCGATTGTGGTCGGCTCAAGTCGAGAATGGTTCAGGACGGACCGAAACGTCGTCGTCCCTTCACTGTCTAGTGTGTGGTTTGGTCAATATATTTCAGCCACGGTATTGTGACTCCTCGTCTGCATTGGAGTTGGTGTGGGTGAGGGAGTCGGCCAAATATGACGGGTCAATTCTCGAGGTTAGTTAGGATAGACAGGTGGGAACGACGCCGGAATCGGAGATCGGTGCACCAGACACACTACTTCACTTAAACTCTACTTAATGAAAACTCTCTCACACTTCTCCCCAAAGAAAACACCATAGACTTACCTGGAGACACGTCCCACGGGGGGGGGGGGATAGAAATAGCCTAAGCTACTCTATCCTTTGAAATGTATTTCTATCTTGTCTCAAAAAACATACTTGAACGTGAGAGACGTCCCCGGCCATCAGGGTGACTCGCGAGTCGCGTACAGGCTGGTTCAGGCTCTTTCTGACCTCTAGAACTTGTCTTTCAGGGGCCTGATTCACGAAGCAGTTATGCAAGTACTTTCGAACCTGTACATCTTTTCTCAATCTTTGGCGGCTTTGTTTACAATTATTATACAGTTAATGAGCTCCGAAGCACCAGGAGGCTGTTTATAACAATAACAACAGTTGATTGGGAAGTTTTCATGCTTGTAAACTGTTTAATATATGTAACCAAAGCCGTCAAAGATTGTGGAAAGATGTACACGTTCGTAAGTACTTGCGAAACTGCTTCGCAAGTATGAATGAAAAACGGTTTACACACGACTCACAACTGATGACGTCCGAACACTTCCGGAACAAGTGCTTCACTGAGGAATTTTGTTCGCTATAAATGCTTCACCCACGTATTACAAAGACAAATAATCGCCAACAGAACCTAAACACCTAACCTAACCTACGCTTAAATATGCAAATATATAATATTAATTTATAATTGCGAAAATTCCTATTTTGAACACACCGCATCTTAAAATAGACTTCGTTTTGGGGTCGGCCGCAGCCTGAACTTGCGCAGTCTTGAGAACCAGTTGCGCGAACCTGGAGACCCCCAGCATAGAGGCGGATTATTTTAGGAGCTGAACCAAGGGAAAAACCTTTTATCAAATTGTATAACATGTATTAATTTATTGATATTGAGATAACTTTAGATCCTCAGCGTTGTTGTTAATTAAGACTTGGTGCGTTTGTTGAAGGTACAGAAGACTTCGGGTCTCCAGGGCGGCCACCAGGTGGACACCGTCTCCCAGGAAGGTCTACACTCCTGTGACAAGTATGATGCAGGTCAGTACTCTCGTGTTGATCTTGGTCAGTGTTACCTATCGTACGTTACGGCTCGTGATCCTACAGCAGCCAAACTTTAATAAGTCTAGGGATACGACACAACTGCTGTTCTCAATAGCGAATCACCAGTATAACCCCTAAGTAATGAGCACAAAATAGAATCTTCATAGGACTGAAGAATAAAGACACTAAGTATAGATATATAATATTATATTAAATAAATCTCAAAAGCAAACAGATGATTATATGGTCACAATATATATCACATTAAAAATATCACTGTAACTTCCAGACATTAAATCAATACTAAGAATAATTATGGCTATGACAGAACAAATGAACTTAACTTCAACAAGTGTTATCTCCCTGGTTTCTGCTCAGCTACTGAACTACAATATGCGAGTCAAAAAACACATTGCCTTGCCCCGCGAATAAATTGCCAAAGTTACAATATTTATTATTTCAACAATGGAGCACTACATTGTGACAAGAGTAATCTTAAACTAACTTAATGAATAATTAGTACATATTGATATAGACAAACAAAAGTAATTATTCTTTACATAGTAATTAAAATATGCATACAGAAGGAAATAATGGCATGCACACCCCAGCAACGGACGATCCCACGACAATTTGCCAGATACAGTTCACTCAATTATTATTTCACTCTGTTACCCACTTATGATCACATATAAATCATTAGTTCCCGTGGGAAAACTGATCACACAAAGAAATAAACAATCATTCCCACGATACGCTGGGCCTAACGCCAACACTGTAACATGAATGTGCATTTGCATAGAACATAAGTATAACAATATACATGCTTGTAATTTACATACAATTATAAATGTACATATTAATATATTTACTTACGTATCTTATATGGGTACGTAACAGTCAGTACTCTCTACTCTCATAGAGCCAGATTCACGAAGCAGTTACGCAAGCACTTACGAACGTGTACATCTTTCCTCAATCTTTGACGGCTTTGGTTATATTTATTATACAGTTTACAAGCATGAAAACTTGCCAATCAACTGTTGTTATTGTTATAAACAGCCTCCTGGTGCTTCGGAGGTCATTAACGAGTTAATAATTGTAAACAAAACCGTCAAAGATTGAGAAAAGATGGCCAGGTTCGTAAGTGCTTTTGTAACTGCTTCGTGAATCTGGCTCATGGTCATCTTCCCAACTACCAAATTTCGTGGTAGTAGTACTTGTGTTCATCTTAACTAGTCAGGGTGTTCATAAATATGAGCCTCATGTTCATGTTCAATTTCCCCGTGTTCATTACCTTGTATTCTCGACGGAAATTCTGAATGTATAATGTTCATATGTATTGAACAATTACAGTATACATAATTTAATCACAGTAATTATACAAACCTTTGACCCCATAATGCAAGGAAAATCACAGTGAAATTGGAAAATAGGCTTAGGCTTTTCAGAAACTTTGTAGGGGGGGGGAAGTTAGGACTGACAAGGGCCTTGTTCTTTGTTAGTTTAACGATTTCTCACGAGGCGTTTAGTGGGTTGGATTAAGGCAGCGTCTGGGATGCTCTCGGACGTAGGTTCGAATCCTAGTCACGGCCCTTGTGGATTTGTTCATTTGATACATCACGTTATTGTGAGTTCTGTGTGTAATGAAATTGTAAAACTTTTTGTTTTAAATTTTACTGTGGGCTTCCTTGCATATATACCGAACCACTTGGGCTGGACGGTAGAGCGACGGCCTCGCGTCATGCAGGTCGGCGTTCAATCCCCGATCGTCTAAGTGGTTGGGCAGCATTCTTTCCCCCCGTCCCATCCCAAATCCTTATCCTCATCCCTTCCAAGTGTTATATAGTCGTAATGGCTTGACGCTTTTCCCTCATAGTTCATTCATTCCTTGCATATATGCAACATATATATTGTGTTCTCCCTAGCAGGCAGAATACTGGAATATGTCGAATTTTCATATGAATACCAATTTGAAGAAAGTTCCTATGATTTGAGAGATACGTTTAATTTATATTGGCGCGTTATTTAAAATACTTAAAAAAATTATTTCCCATTGCATGCTTCAGTGAATCTTGGTAAGTATGGTAGTAATAGTTGTAGAGACTCGTTAGTGTGTGTGTTAATTCAAGTAAATGTGCCTTTAGGTAGAGTTTCAGCTCCTGGACTCCGCATGTTTCTTGGGCTGTCCAGTTATCAGTAAACACATCCTGGCCCCATTCAGGGATTCCTTTTCCTTTGCCACTAACTAGTCTGTGAGATGCAATAGTCACACCTTTCGCAGTGTGTGATGCAATGTACACCCTCCCGCTTTGATAGTGAGAACTGCAATGTTTATCCTGTGCAATGTACCCTGCCTTGCTCGGTGCACGCACTTGCTGACCCGTAGCTAACTCCACCACCTTATATTGCATAGCTACGTGGGCTTGGAGGGTCTAGGTTGCACAAAATGCTTCTTGCTCTAATGAGTTCCACTTGTTGCTGTGGGGCCAGATTCACGAAAGCACTTACGCAAGCACTTACGACCGTGTACATCTTTCCTCGATCTTTGACGGCTTTGGTTACATTTATTAAACAGTTTACAAGCATGAAAACTTCTCAATCAACTGTTGTTATTGTTATAAACAGCCTCCTGGTGCTTCGGAGCTCATTAACTGTTTAATAATTGTAAACAAAGCCGCCAAAGATTGAGAAAAGATGTACAGGTTCGTAAGTGCTTGCGTAAGTGCTTTCGTGAATCCGGTTTGTATAAAGATGTCGGGCATCGGTAGCGGCTTCCTTCGTTAATTAGTACTTTCTTGCGTGGCAGATGACTCGGACGACTACTAGTGAATCCTCGACCACTACCAGTGAAGTCTCAACCACTCCCATTGAAGCCTCAACCACTCCCAGTGAAGCCTCATTGTGGTCCTTGGAAGTTTAAGAGGTGGAAGAGAAATCTTCCAATCTGCTGATGCCTTCATCGTCTGCTGGTCGTCTCTGCTGTCTCACGCAGAGCTTCCTGCTGCTGTCAGCCAGGGGGTACTCGCCGTCTGCTTCTCTCCTGCTTAGCCTCTTATTTTTTCGTCTGCCTGATGTCTGCATGTCAACTCAAGCTATCCACTATTCGTCATCTCGCCGTCAATTACCTGCCTGTCTGACATCCTTAATGCCTCTTCTACCTTTAATCACTCACACCAGCAAGAGCAGAAGTTGACAAGAGCACAAAAAAGGTAATTCAAAACAGCAGCAACACTTGAAGAAGCAACACTACACTTGCCCCAGACCAACAGTGTTGCTCAGATCCACCAACGTCAAGAAACTGTTGTACTGAAGTGCCCTCATCCTAACCTACCAGAGGACCCAAAACAGAGAACGGGACAGTATGTCAATTTCACGAGCCGCTCCCATTTTCTAGTACGACAATTTTTGGCCTTAGGTAGAGTGGAAGCCAAAATGCAAAGAGCACATCTGTACCAGGTAAGTCCACTACGGGCTCACCATAGCCCGTGCTATCTTGAGGTTATCTTGAGATGATTTCGGGGCTTTTTTAGTGTCCCCGCGGCCCGGTCCTCGACCAGGCCTCCATCCCCAGGAAGCAGCCCGTGACAGCTGACTAACACCCAGGTACCTATTTTACTGCTAGATAACAGGGGCATAGGGTGAAAGAAACTCTGCCCATTGTTTCTCGCCGGCGCCTGGGATCGAACCCAGGACCACAGGATCACAAATCCCGCGTGCTGTCCGCTCGGCCGACCGGCTCCTGATGACTCGGATGGAACTTTTTGGAACTGGAACTTTTGGAACTTTGGAACTTTTTGTTCAGAGTAGCTCCCATTCTCCCACCACCTGGCCGGCTACAGGTGAATGTACACACGAGCCAGGCCCCACCAGGTGAATTGAAATTGGCTCGTGTGCCTGGTCAAGCTTTCACAGGGAGCAGCCCGTCCTCATAAAGACCAAAGTCCATTCCATGCACCCGCCAAACCCCCTGTTTATGAATGAAAAACGGTTTACACATGACTCACAACTGATGACGTTCGAACACTTCCGGAAAAAGTGCTTCACTGACGACTTATGTTCGAACCACAACGCTATAAATGCTTCACCAACGTACTACAAATACAAATAATCACCAACAGAGCCTAAACACCTAACTAAACCAATGCCTAAATATGCACAATATGCGTTTTAATTTATATTTGAGGAAACTCCTGCTTTGAATGAACAGGATGTTAAAATTGATGAATGCGCCTGTGGGGTCGATCGCTGGATGGAATGGACTAGGTCTGCGGATGGGTTGCAGGGAGCACAACACCATTCTGCTCTTACCCAGAGTGTTTGCTAGGAATGTTAAATGTGTTGGAACTTCAAATAATACATGAATAGGCCATATACAATGCATAGGCCTATATATATTGTATATAATTCCCATTGACTTGAACAGAGAGCCTGCACTCAGGCTTCTTCGGATCCTCCTAGATCATCCACCGACCTTCTTCAGGATGCCAACCACAATAGTTGCCTAACTCCCATGTATACCTATTTACCGCTAGGTGAGCAGAGATTAGGGGAAACGTGCCCAACCGTCCCTGTCCTGGGAATCGAACCTGGGATCCTCAAGTGTGAGTCGAGGACGTAGGCTACTGTACACGAGCCAAATTATATAATAAGGTGGTCGATGTATTGTTCTAGGTATTTGGCTAAATCCCTGGCGTATTGTATTAGTAGCAAGATATACTGCATTAATCTTAAGGATAAAGTATTTATTGTAATGTGAGTATATTGTATTACCAATAAAAAATAGGTGTTGTATTAATTGCAGGATAAAGGTGCTCCGTAATATACATTAATGTAGGAAAAAGACGCTACATTGCATAAATGTAGTAATACAATCTTTGTGTTCTATTTATACAATTCTGTATTTAACAATAAACCAGTTTGACAGTTGTGAGTGAACTACACGCTGCTTACTCATCTATTTTGTCAAGTAAAGCTGCATAATTATTTAAACTTGAATCCTTTGCACGTTGCCAAGCCTAACCTAACCCAGCTATACAACCTAAACTTAATATAACCTAAACTTAAAACCTGAACCTAACCCAACCTTAAAAGCTTTTGGGTGCTGGGGTTAAAGAGGAGTTAGGGAGACCAAAGACTCAAGAGCAGCCTTATGTTCTAAGTCCTCAACAATGTGATTCAGAAAGGAAATAGCTACTGCAGCCTCACGCCTTGCCAGTCCGGAGGTCACTCACGCCCTAGGTGCAGGGACAACTGAGGGTTGCCCAAACGCCTCTGTCCGTAGGGTTAGGTTAGGTTAGACCCTAATAATATCATGGCCACTCTGAGAATATAAGCACGAAGCTTTCGTGATTTGGTTGTCGTATTCTGCATCACTTAGTTAAACAAGTGTCATTTGGTGAATGTTGGTATAATGTTGAAAATGGCAAATTGTATTATTAAAGTTTTGACCACAATGCATAGCAATGTGGGGAAGAGTTTACTAGGCAACCTCATTATCAACAACTATTTTTGCTGTTTTTACTGATTATCCATCCCTGTGGATTGTTACTGCTTATCCATCCCTGTGGATTGTTACTGCTTATCCATCCCTGTGGATTGTGACTGCTTATCCATCCCTGTGGATTGTTACTGCTTATCCATCCCTGTGGATTGTGACTGCTTATCCATCCCTGTGGATTGTTACTGCTTATCCATCCCTGTGGATTGTGACTGCTTATCCATCCCTGTGGATTGTGACTGCTTATCCATCCCTGTGGATTGTGACTGCTTATCCATCCCTGTGGATTGTTACTGCTTATCCATCCCTGTGGATAGTTATTGCAACTCTTGTGAAGGATGCCACTTGTAAGCACAATGTCAGCTGATTGTAGCAAGTTGCTTCTCGATGTTTTTTTGTTTTGTCTGAGTAAACAAGAGTGGACGCCGACTGCTTCATACACGATCATTTCCCGCCAATTTTCCCCCACAGGCCTGGATACAGTGCACGTACTTCAGAATCAAATTTAGGCTTCAGTGAGATATTAGTGAAGTGTCTAAATTTGACTTTTAAAGTAACTCCACTGTGCTTTGTAGGTAGAATACACATACACACAATGGGGTGTATATTCAGCAGTCAGAGTCCAGTCATACACAAGATGAGTGACGCTGCCCAATAAACTCGCCCTTCACGGTAAAAAAAATACAAAAATAAAAATGCCATAGAAAGTGATTATATGGGAAGAGTTCCCTATTCTGGAAAAAAGTGTTCGATGTGCCATTGTGTTGTGGTGAGGTGGTGGTCTGTTGTGTTGTTAATATATTGTATTTTTATATATGATGGTCTATCATTCATCCCCCCCCCCCTCTAGGCACTACACTCCATAGTTCATATATATTTGATTACATACAGTATAAGTGTAGAAACAGAGAGTGAGTTGATCAGGTCAACTGATCACATGAAGGCTCTGATACACAGTTGGCTACAGGGTCATCCTGTTCCTTATATGATTGTTACTTTTATGTTGTTAATGAATAAAGGTGATTCCTATTAATACATATAATAGGCTCATGAAATAAATGGGTCTCTAGGTCTCAGAAACCCTAATAAATGGGTTTCAACTGAGGTAGAATCACAGCTCTTGCTTGCAGTTTCACCAGAGTTCCTTATATGATGGTTCATCTATGATAGTTCCCTATGTGGTAGTTAGTTTCAAAGTACATTCTCATAACATAAATGCGTCTCTAGAAGCAGGCTTCAGATGAGCTGAGGTAGGATAACAGCTCTTGCAAGAAAACAGCTCTATACAAGAATATATATATATATATATATATATATATATATATATATATATATATATATATGAGAGAGAGAGAGAGAGAGAGAGAGAGAGAGAGAGAGAGAGAGAGAGAGAGAGAGAGAGAGAGAGAGAGAGAGAGAGAGAGAGAGAGAGAGAGAGAGAGAGAGAGAACCAGGAGAACTTGTCTCCTAGTGACCTCTTACGGCGGCGTTCGGTACTAAGAGATGTAAACAAAGACGCCGTCTCTCCCTGTGTCAACAACACAACTAAATTATGCATAAGCTACACAAGTGGTCTTATTATCGTCTAGTCTATCCTGTCGTTATGTTGTATCAGGTGGCAGCTGTCGAGGCAGGATTTATATATAGGATTCTCTAGGCCTATTTTTAGCTACAGCAGCAGAGATGCCTGTATCCTCGTTGCTACAGCAGCAGAGATACTTATATCTTCGTAGCTACAGCAGTAGATACTTATATCCACGTAGCTACAGTAGTACAGATACTTATATCCACGTAGCTACAGCAGTAGAGATACTTATATCTTCGTAGCTACAGCAGTAGATACTTATATCCACGTAGCTACAGTAGTACAGATACTTATATCCACGTAGCTACAGCAGTAGAGATACTTATATCTTCGTAGCTACAGCAGTAGATACTTATATCCTTGTAGCTACAGTAGTAGAGATACTTATATCTTCGTAGCTACAGCAGTAGAGATACTTATATCCACGTAGCTACAGCAGTAGATACTTATATCCACGTAGCTACAGCAGTAGAGATACTTATATCCTCATTGTTACAGCAATAGAGATACTTATATCCAAAAATGTAACCATTCAAAAAGATCAAATTATTGGTCATCCTTAAACCTCTAATCGAATAAAGTGCTCCATATCTTAAATCAAAGTACACTTATAAAACTTATAAGTATCAGTTTGATTAAAAGTACGAATACAGTTACGAACTCTGAATCTCGTCAGAGTTCGAGTAAATATTTTGTAAATATTGGAGTAAATAGGTGCAAGTAAATATTTTACTTAGAATTATATGCAGCCAAATATTGCAATGAGCTTCTGATATTCGTATTAGCGGCGCTGTGCGTAATTTGTAATCATTTTTATGGTATTCAGTCAACCTCTCCCCCTACAAAGAACGTCGCTTTTCGCTCGTATGAGTTTCATGAGGCTAAGAATGGTCGTACTTGGAAATGGAAGCGGGTCGCGAAAGTGACGTACTGTCCCGTTTTCTGTTTTGGGTCCTCTGACCTAACGGGGTATTCATGCCCGTGCCATCTCTTGGATGGCTTCATCAGTCAATCAATCGCGTTAGTTTCGCATTATCGTGTCCTCCCCGTACAGTGGGCATATTCCTGAAGGCATCACGTTGTTGACAAAACCTTGAAATATCGTGGAAAAGACTTAAATGCTCTAGTGTCCCCTAGTGTAGAATGTCTCCTTACATAGAGTGAAAACCCTTCAACTTGGCCATAGTATCTTATCCAAGTGCATGCAAGCACTCCTCAGCGTATGGGTTTATCAGGATTGACGCCACATCATGTAGAAGAGAGATAACCTTGGGAGACATTGCCTAACAGAGCCAGCAGTCTGCCATCTGCTAACTACAACAGTCCCGCCAACTTGGATACAGCGTCAGGGGTCCCCAGAACGAGTTCCCACCCTGGTTGTTAATTGGTAAATATGGGCTGTCTAACAGGGGAAGGATTATAGACTCAAGTACAGCTGGTGGTTACCATGTTGGGACTTAGTTCTGGCGGTTGGTTGGCTG